TTTTTTTGGGTGCATACTTTTGTGGTCTTTAATAAAAGTATAAAACTTTCATGTCTATGGTGGACTTTTTGAGACTTTTAGATAATTCTCATTAGTGACTTCTTTTCAAAACTTTCATAATGAACTTTTTAAAACTGATTGAGACCTAATTTTTAAAACTAATTTTCAATTCTCTGCACCGCCCCAAATTCTCTGCGAAAAAACCTAATCCGACTGCCGCCTTCAATTATCTTTGCTCCGCCTTCCTCGGTGACGTCGGTGCCTTGGCCAGCGGTCATCCCCGACCTCTCGCCCGTGTTGGATGTCGTGCGCCTCGTGGTTGCTGCTTTTCTGAAGATGTCGGTTGCCTGCGTATCGGAGGTTCGAGGTGCGTCCCTTTTGCTCGGAGTCCGGGTTTTGATGGGTGGTTCATTCCAGTCGCCGGCGGACACCCGATTGACGGAGGTATGCTCTCTTTTTCTCAGATTTCGTTTGTGGCCGACCGAGGTTTTCCCGACTGGCGTTTCTGCTTTCTCCGGCGGGCCTTCCGGTGGGGTTTTGGTAGTCCGTCGTTGGGTCTCTGCAGTGATGTCCGATGGTGTGTGGCTTTGAGGATTGGGCGAAGCCTCGGCTGCCGCTGTCTTCCGGTTGCAATGGACGGGGTTGAGAAACCGTGCCACCTCCAGCCCCCTGTTCGGCTAGTGGTGTTAAACGACGGGGGTCCGGGGGCCTGGTTCCATTGAGCTCAGCTAGTGGTGTTAGACGGGTCCGGGTAGAGCTAGCGGAGAATGGTCGGTCTTTTTAGGTCGGAGATGGGTTGATTCTGGGAATGGTTCGAGTTCGGTTCGGCTGCTGTATAGGCGCTTGCGCAGTTTCGGTAGCGGTTACTCGGGCAGGGACTCTTTCCTGTGTCGATTGTTCACTGCGGTTTTGGGCTTGTTCGTATGTCGGGGAAGGGCTATTTTGTGTGTTTATTTTGTTTTGTTGTTTGTGTTTTTTGTATTCTCAGTGACTGTGTGTAGTTTAGGACTGTGTTTTGGGTCGTTGACCCCTGTGAGCCCGAGTGTCACTATGTTCGCCCGAATGTCACCTTATACCCTGTTGGAGTCCGACACTCGGGTATTACTCTGTTGGGGTCCGACACTCGGGTAGTTGTTTTAGTTGTTTGTGTTGTTGGTTAGTTTAATTGCGAGTGATTTTTATTTTAGCATTGCTAGCGGGGATTCTAGGCGGTCTTCTGACCGATCCTTCCACTTTTTCAGCTGTTGACTGTTGTGTATTCAGCCGTTGGCTGCTGTGTATTCGCACAATTGTGCATTTTGATTTATAATAATATCTATCGTTTTGAAAAAAAAAACTTATTGAGACTTTTGCATACTTGTAGTTATAATATTTGAATGAAATATTAATAAATGTAACATAATAACTAAATCAACAAGAATAAATGAAAATAAAATGCTTTATATATTGATCCTCTAAAAATTTATGAATCAACTCATTGTTATGCGAAATAAGTTATTAACGAACAAATTGTTTAGGATTTTAGATTTTTTAAACGAGCAAATCAATCTGAGCTTCAACGAGTCAAACTATGGAAGATACAAACATTGCCGAAAAACAGTAATTAATTTATAAAGTTATCAATAATATTCAAAATAATTCAATATCAACAAATATATTATTAGAAAATTAATATTTTTTTAATATTTAAAAATAAACATTAAAAAATAAAAAAGAGAGAACAAATAAATTATTTGCAAGTGCAAACTATGGAAGCATTTAACCTTTGAAAAGTCAAATTCACAAGATAGCAAAATGAGATAATAAAGGTCTGCATACATAAAATAACCATAATAAAAAATATATAAAATAAAGATTACGTTAAATATACGTAATGAAAATAAAAATTATATAAGGTATTAAAATAGACGAGTAGATAATAGAGCATGAAAGTTGATAACACTTCCACACCTCAACCCGGTTCCCTTCTGTTCCTCGCCCGGTTCAAGC